TTTTTGTACTCTGTATCGGCAAGTACTCAGATCCAAGTATCGGTATCGTATCGGTTTGAAAAATGTGGTATCGTTGCATCCCTAGACTAAATGTTCGACCTCAAAGCAACTATGTGTGTTTTTTAAGGTCCAGAAAAGGTTTCACATAAAGGTGTTAAAATACTTGTTGGCACAGTTTTGTCTAAATTTTAAATGTCTCTAAAATTTTAAGTAAAATATACATTTGACTGTTAGATGTTTAGGTTTTACCTTTTTAGCGCCACGGACGGGTTTATGTCCGACAGTATTTTCACGGACCGGCCTTTAAGGTGTCGTGGATAAATACAACAAAATAAAATCAGTACCAAAAATCTAAATCAGTATCGGTGCCAAAAAAAGATTTACTCATAACACACGGGACCCAGGGAAACAGAGTTAATGACAAAAATGATAAAAACCCTGAAAACCATAAATTTCACACCCGAGCCTCAACTCTCGCGGCCCGATGCCAAACGACTCACGGACTGTGGCCCGAGGGGTGGGGACCGCTGGGACACATTTATTACAATCTGACTCTGTATCACTGGCAGAACATCACTTCATCACTTCACAGCAAGTTAGTTCTGGGTTTCAGTTCAAACACATTAGTTTTAGGATCCACTGTTTAGATATGAGACATATAAAGCTTCAGTGTTTTAAAGACACACTTTCAGTGTCTGTGTGAATAACAATAACACTGCTCTGCAGACTGTGCACCTCTTTTTTAATAAGAGGGCCATTTTTGTATTGTTACGACCCCCTCTGCATTGGGGGCATCCTTTTTTATTTTTCGTCGGGTTGATTGGAGTGTGGGCTCTTTCGTTCTTCGTTCGTTGCCGTTGTCGCTGAACCTGTGTTCTTGGTTAGCTCTACTTTTCTGGTTGTCAGTTTTTTCTTGTGTGGGAGGGTGTGTGTTAGCATGGAATTTAAATTGGAGGATTTCACTTTAGGCCCAACTGAAGAAAAGCTGGACAGATGTAAAAAGGATGATTTATTTAATGTGACTGTGCCATTGAATGCAAAGAAAAAGGAGCTTAAAGAGCTCCTGTGTATTAAACTGCATGAAAGCGGGTTGTTTGGTGAGCCGGGTCCTGCAGAGGGAGTCGAGCTGGGAGCTGTTGCTGGTATTCCTGCCCCACTGAAAAATCTCCCTCCTCAAACTGGCCCTTCTGAGGAAGAGCTGCAGTTAACGCTGCGCATAAAGGAGGTGGAGTTAAAAAAGCAGCAGTTGGAGGTGGATGCCATGCACTTGAAGGTTAGGGCTCTGGAGATAGAGCCGCTGTATCTGCCAGTCCTCCTACACCTCGGTCAGCCCC